ATTATTCGTAAAAATAGTATGTGGGTTATTCCATGTCAAATGAGCAAAAAAATCAAGATTTTCGGCCGACCCCTTTCAATTTCGATAAAAAGTTGTAGACTGGTTATATATGTTCCCATTAGATTATAAACAAAATTTTAGCGCATTAGCAACTATATTAGCCGAGATAATCGGGGTTAAAGGTCCAAAAAACGTCTTTTTTTGCTTTTTACTGATGTCAAATAACTAGTTTTTAATTTAAAACTAAATATGATCAAATATTGTATCTAATATCAATAGCTAAGTTAATAATTTATGATTATGGCGAAAACATCAAAATTAATCTTTTATAAAATATGGGTCATCTTATGGTCAGTTGAAAACTTGAAATTAATATTTCGAAATGTATATGATCTCCGATTTTTAATTTTTTTAAGAAATATTATTCGTTTACTATTTTTTTAATAATTTCTTCAACAATTAGCATGGCTGGATATTTATTTTAAAAAATATTGCGATTTTTATACTTTAAAAAAAATAGATGGCGCTATATATAATAGTTTTAATATGTTAAAATTTATTTTTTTATTGATTAAAAATATTTTAATGTATAATATATCATAAAATTCGATTATATAACTCTGTAAAACTTATTCCCCTGAGATATTCGCAGGATAAAAAATTTTAATAATTTTTTTAATATTTCAATGTAAATTAAAAATAATTAAAAAATCCGACTAACATGCGAACAAAAAAGCAGTATTAAAGGAGTGCAGGAAAATTATTAAGGGAAAAATCGAAAATCATATAATTACCCGGCCTACCCCCCATCCCCCCCTCCAGACTAAGTCATACCCATCAAGACCAATAATGTTATAAAATTGTCATTAACCAGAAAATTTCAAAGATTTTTAAAAAAATTTTAAGCGATATAATTAACAAAAAATTAACTAGTTATAAAATTTTGGGTATCAAATGAATTTGAGCATTCTCTATAAAATTTTTGATCAAAGTCTTTGAATTTTGAGCATATGTTTAACACTGAAAAAATTAATAAAAGTAAGTCAGCTGTTTTTATCTTTTCTTAAAATTATTAAAAATAAACTGATTAGCAAAATTAATTAGCGAATTTAATCGATAAATCACAGTTGCTAAAAATACAAATTGATTTCTTTAATATTTTTTCACAAACACCGATTCATATCTTTTACATATAAATATTTTTACTTGTCGTTTAAAAATAAATAAATTTTTTTAAATGAAACCCTTAAAAGATAAGATAAAATGTTGCAATCCACTGAATAAAGTGAATCATAAAAATTTTAAAAAAAATTTAAGATCAGTTCTTCCATGGATGCTTAATATAAATAATCATTTATATCTTCAACAAAAAATATGTAATTCGTACCGATACCAGTTAAGTAAAATTGGTCCACACATTCCCGAAGAATTTATATCCCCAATAACCCATAATCAGGATGCCTTTGAATCGATTAATGAAACATTACACAATATTGGAGAATCACCAATTAAAAGAAAACGTTTAATGGAGAAAAAATATCCTAAAAATAAAATTCAAAAGATTGAAAAAGCAATAAAGAGTAAGGTTTTAGAAATATCTGATTCCGAGATTGATATCCAATGAAAGAGGAAATTCTTATTATATTAAAGGATAACTTTGATAAATTATCAAAAAATCAACAATATCAAATTCTTACAATTTTGCCTCAAAGATGGAGTGTAAATAAAATTCAAAAGGAATTCAACGTAACATCATACATGGCAAGAAAATCTAAAATGATGGTAAAAGAAAGTGGAATTCTTTCATTTCCAAAACATAAGGCAGGAAAAACACTAAACGAAAAAACATTTAAACTCGTCAAGGATTTTTATAGTTCTGATGAAATAAGCCGACTCATGCCAGGAATAAAAGATTGTGTATCTGTTAAAGGCGAGAAAGAACCAGTTCAAAAAAGACTTATATTAAATAATCTTAAAGAAATATTCAAGATGTTTAAGGAAGAATACCCAAATATATCAATAGGATTCTCTAAATTTGCCGAACTTAGACCAAAAAACTGTATTTTAGTTGGAGCTAGTGGCACACACACTGTTTGTGTCTGCGCTATTCATCAGAATGTGAAACTAATGACAAATGTAATAGCTGAAATTACAGCAGGAGAAGATTACTGTATAAATTCTTACAACTATCTATTGGCGCAAATTATTTGTAATCCATCTCAGCCAAAATGTTATTTAACAAATTGTGATCAATGCCCTGGTATAGAATCTCTAGGGACAATTATACCAATTGTTTCAGAGAAATCGTATAGAATATGTCACTTAAACAATGGATCACGGTGGATAGAACAAATCTTGAAACTATTATAAAGTCCGTTGATGATTTCATCGATTATTTATTAGAAAAAGTTCAAATTTTACTGCGTCACTCGTTTATAGCTAAACAACAAAGTTTATTTTTGAAGAATTCCAAAGAAAATTTAAAAGATGGGGAATTTTTAACAATTCTAGATTATTCTGAAAATTATTCCTTCATTTTACAAGATGAAGTTCAGGGATTTCATTGGAACAACGTGCAGGCCACTATACATCCATTTGTAGCATATTATAAATCTGGAGAAGATTTAAAAAATATAAATTTTGTTATTATATCCGAATTATTAAACCATAATACTAGTGCAGTCCACCTTTACCAAAAAAAATTTATTAATTTCTTAACAGCCAAATTTAATTCTAAACCAGAGGAGCCGCGTCTCAATACAAGAATCGCAAAAATTTTCTGAACATATGCCTTCATAAATACGATTTTAATATTCCTGCCGAATGGCATTTCTTTGCCACTGCTCACGGCAAAAATGCATGTGACGGTATCGGGGGAACTGTCAAAAGATTAGTTGCCAGAGCTAGTCTTCAAAAACCAAATAAAAATCAAATCCTAACCCCATTAGAATTATATAATTATGCTAAAGAAAATATTAATGGAATTCAATTTGAATATATATCCAATCAAGAATATATCGAAGGGGAATTAGCCCTTCGCAAAAGATTTGATTCTGCGCTGCCCATACATGGGACCTTAAAAATTCACGGGGTTATTCCCATTGATCAAAATAGACTAAAAACCAAAATATATTCAAATTCTAAAAAATATAATATAAAACAAGTTTCGTTTTTAAATGAAAAAATTATATTTAAAAATATTAATGGATATGTAACATGTGTATATGATGATAAATGGTGGTTAGGATATATAATCGATAAATATGATACAAATGAAGAAGTAAAAATCCGATTTTTACACCCTTGTGGACCTTCAGCCTCATTTAAATTTCCCCTGAAAGATGATATTTTAGTGTTACCTAAATCTCATATTCTTTCGCTGGTCAATCCTTCTACTCCCACCGGTCGAACATATATATTATCTTCTGAAGAAATCTTACAAGCTAGCCAGGCTTTGTGTTCCTTTAGATGAAGTAAGATTTAATTAATTTATAAACTATTTTAATTAGGCTAAATTTGTGAAGATTTTAAAAATTTATGATCTGAATTACAAATAAATATATATAATGGACATTGTAATCGATTTAGTATGATATATATACATTAAAATATTTTTAATCAATAAAAAAATGAATTTTAACATATTAAAACTATTATATATAGCGCCATCTATTTTTTTTAAAGTATAAAAATCGCAATAAATTTTAAAATAAATATCCAGCCATGATAATTGTTGAAGAAATTATTAAAAAAATAGTAAACGGATAATATTTCTTAAAAAAATTAAAAATCGGAGATCATATACATTTCGAAATATTAATTTCAAGTTTTCAACTGACCATAAGATGACCCATATATTATCAAAAATTAATTTTGATGTTTTTGCCATAATCATAAATTATTAACTTAGCTATTGATATTATATTCAATATTTGATCATATTTAGTTTAAAATTAAAAACTAGTTATTTAACATCAGTAAAAAGCAAAAAAAGACGTTTTTTAGACCTTTAACCCCGAATATCTCCGCTAATATAGTTGCTAATCCGCTAAAATTTTGTTTCTAATCTAATGGGAACATATATAACCAGCCTACGATTTTTCATCAAAATCGAAAGGGGTCGGCCGAAAAGTGATAATATCGGTGTAACCGTTTATTTTTTTAAATTTTATTTCCATTTCTATTTATCATACATATTCTTGAAATTTAATAATCCATTATTTTTGGTTGTCAAAAGATAAAAAAAAATATTTATTTTCTAATCGAATAATGATTTTGTTGTATAAGTACGAATAATGAATTATTCTACTATTACGAATAATTAATCTACTACGAATAATTAATTGGTTCGCATGAAAATGAATAATAAATCGGTTTATATAATTACGAATAATTAATCAGTTAGTGCGAATGCGAATAAAATAATGCTTTTGTTCGATTCATAAACTAAATTAGAGTATAAAATAAAATTATAGTTAGTAATAAGAAATATTATCATTTATTAGTTTAAATTAATTTTTATCTCAATCCTTAATGTTTCTTACATAAAATTATCTTACTTCTTGTAAGAGCTCTTAATATTAATAGAGAAATTTATTTAATAGAGCAAAAAAAGAAAATTAAACAAGATTTTAAAAAAATTGTCAAGAAGTGAGAATATTAGTTAAGTCAAAATGGTGCACGAATTAAATTTTGAAATTCCTTACTCCAGCTCCATTTGAGCTAATAGAAGCTTTATATTACAATATTTATATATAACTCTCGTTCTGTTATTTCATTTTGACAATTAATATCATATCCAATACACATATCGATTGCACGTTGAATGAATTATCTTTAACCAATCTTGCTTTCTTACTATTTTCTTAATCCAATTTTTATCTTGTTAATTTTGCTCTTTTTTAAGCAAATATATAGATTTGTTATTACAAACCTTTTTTTGTGTAATTACGTTAACATTCCTCATTATTAATAAATAATTTTTATCATTAATTAATCAGAAATGGATAAAATCTAACGGGAAAGCTTTTACCAATTCGGATTCTCTTTTTTCGCAACACTATATCTCTCCAAATAAACACGATTCCTCAAACCTTTCTCCCCCTCAGCTATTGGGTAACCCTGTAATTCAAAGGATAAAAATCATCATGTCGCTGGGACTTTTGATAGTCCATGTTCATTCCCGATTTTTTATGAGCTATTACACCCATTCCAAAGTTATCAATTCTGCCAAAAATCCTTCAAATTTTATCGAATCCTTAAATTCCAAAAATCTAGTGAATATCAATGGTTTAAACGAGGACGATACCAATATTTTTGCTCCCAAACATTCCTTACTTGTATTTACAATCCTGAAGTAAAATTTTTACATTTTTGGAGAAGTTAGAACCTTAAGACAAATAAGGATAAAATTAATTTTAAACTTTCTTTTGATGATTTTATTACAATTATTCACGGTTAATAATTCAATAATACAATATTTGAGACAATTTTTAGATTTTAGATGGAAATTCTTTTTATATATATAAATTTTAATTAAAGAGTTATGGGTTATTTTATCCTTGCGGATATTTTGTTCAGTAAAAGGTTCCAGTTTTAATTATTATATTTTAAAAATAGATAGTCATTTTATTGTATAAATTATTTACACGACTATTTTTTTGTCCTTTATCACTTAATCCCCCCCCCCCCCCCCAATTCTTCTCTCAGGATTTTTCATCTCAAACTTCAAGACTGGATAACTTTTTTGTTCGCTTTGCTTACCGGTGTACATTATTTTTATTACGACAAAACTAGTATGGATCGCTTTCATTCCAGCGAAAAACCAAATGCTAAAAATAATTCCGATAAAGTTTTTTCGAATGGAAAACAACCCGATGATGTTTGTTGCAAACGTTCCAATTCTGAAGATTTTGGTAAATAAAAACAAACGAATTTATTAATTTTTTTAAAAATTTAGAATAAATGTGTGTGACAAATTGATAAAAGTTGTTTATAAAAAACCCAAAAAGATTAATTAGTCATCTAAATGGCTCAATTTTTTAAAACCACTAACCCAATATTTTAGCCAAAAAATATTACGCAAGCCTGGAGATTTTCCTCATAGATAGCAGGAAGGTTTGGAAATTTATTAAACGAAATTTCGGAGCTTACATATTATTATCTTAATTTAAAATTTGTTAAATCGAGCCGGTTAACAGCACTACAACCTAAGTACACTAAAAAAAAAAGTAATGTAATTTACATAAAATTGAATTTTGCTAGTTTAAAATCAGAATGCTAAATAAATTTTCTTAAATTGTTTTATTTTATTTTAAAATAAATATCACCCATTTATAACAATTAGTAGGAGGTTGGAAATGCTTAAAGGTAAAAAACTGCAAAAATAATACTGATAATGATATTGCATGATAGATGCTAGGGAAGTTATTGTTTCAATTTAGTTAAAAAAAAATACCTAAGATGTTAAGATTTTTAAAAATACGATATTATTCTCGAGAAAAATATAATAAATATTTCCAGTTTTTCGCCTTTTACTTTTCTCGTTTTCGAACGGGAAACATGAAAATTCTAATATCAAATTCGTTTTTGTAAACAAATATAAAAAGTTGATATCAAGCGATGTGTATCATTTATTATCGGTGATTATGCAAGTGAATCAAAAAATTTAGACAAGGAAACTCAAACTACCAATATTCATAAAAAAGTATACAATTTTTTTTATATATTTTATCAAAAGTTATCTACTAATCCGGGTTGGTTCTCATTTTTAATGAATCGAACCTAGTTTTACTGAATATATATTATATCAACCTTATAAGAGATTAATAGGGCTTAGCCCAGAACTAAGTCGAACTTACGAAAATTTTTTATGACAAAAAAAACTAAAATAATAATAAATATAAGGAAATATCAATAAAATAATAATAAAGATTTTTTTTCTTAAAATTAAAAAAAAACACATAGCATGACAAGTCAACCTTAACAACTACCGAATCTCTTCCTAACTTGACCAAACAAAAACTGACACAAGATGACCATGTTTTGTTGTCTAAATTGTTATCCAAACAAATTGCTTCCCACGCCTTAGATACTCATACGTCGAATGACTACGAGAGAAGCATTAGAATAAGGAGAGCCGCTTTGCTCAAAAATTTGGGTTATAAATTTTGCCCCCCTACGACAAACGAAAAAAATACCGATTCTAGAATAGTCAAACACGAATTCGATTGTTCGCATAATGGGCAAAATTGTGATTTAAATGACGAAAACTTTTTGAATGATTTACCTTTCGAAAGGTATCCAGACTATGAACTTGTAAACGGGGCATGTTGCGAAAACGTTGTTGGGTATATGCCCATACCTTTAGGTAAATGGATAAAAAGACATTTATTTTATTTGATCTTATTCTAACCCAAATGCTCATTTTTAAATGTTTTTAGTTGTATTTGATTTTCAAAGAATTTTATTATGAAATCAAAATATTGCAAAGTATATTTTTATTCATTAAGACAAAATTTATTTTTATTTGTCCATAAAAGGAATCGCCGGCCCACTTAAATTGAATGGTGAATTATATTACCTTCCCATGGCTACAACTGAAGGCTGCTTGGTAGCTAGCACTAATAGAGGATGTAGGGCCATTCAGGTTAGTCTTTTATTCGATATTTTATTTAATTTGCCATATTTCGCTATTTATGCTAAAATATAGAAAGAGCAAAAATATTTTTTTTTAGAGTTTTTCCCTTTGGTTCTCCCGAATTTTGATACCTAAGTTAAATCATATTATTATGTTTTTAAATAGACTTTATATCTGCATTATGAAACTTGATTATAAAACCACATTTTTTATCAAAACTTATATATTTTAATGGTTGGCTATAAACAACCTATACGAATATAGAACTATATCTCACAAAAATTAAAATATATATACTGGATCCTAATATTTAACACCATATCTTTATATTGAGTTTTAACTATTAGCTGCTACCCACACACATGATGTTCTATAAATAAAGTTATAATGCCATACATTGGGCTTCTGGATATTTTTTTTAAAATTTCTAATATTTCATTCTAATTTCTTCTCTTTTGGTTTCCCTTCATATTATTATTTTTTCATTATCTTTTTCACATAATTTTTACCAAAAAAATAAATAAAATGTAAGGAAAGTGACAATACTATGGGAATTCAGTCCACTTTATACGATGACGGGATGACACGTGGTCCCGTAATATTATTTCCATCCTGCTTAAGAGCCGCGGAGGTCAAGGCATGGACTAAACAACCCGATTCTTACAACGCTCTCGAACGCGAATTCGAATCTACTAGTCGATTCTTGAAGCTGAAAAAAATAGATTGTCGTCTGGCTGGAAGGAGATTATTCTTAAGGTTCAAGGCCACCACAGGGGACGCCATGGGAATGAACATGATTTCCAAAGGTATCTGTTTTTATTACAATCATCAAAATGGACTGGAGCTCTTACAAAGCTCGAATTAGGATTTGGATCATATTTAAAGATTGAGTTAGGACCCTATGATAACACGTTTTATCTTTTAAGAATTATAAAAAATCTATTTTGTGTTATTAAAATTATTAAATAACTCATTTTTTCCCCCGTAAATTTTATCAAAGATTCCGAAATTCACTTTTAAAAACAGGAGGAAATACAAATATTTTTTTAATATAAGATTCGAATATTCAGTATTTTCTTGTTTTTTTGTTAAATATTATTTCTTAGACCCTTTGTGATTTTATTTTTAAATGTTAAAATAAATTATTTTAAGTTTGATATATATAACATTAAAATGCTATATGAACCCAAACGGGTTAAACATTTTTTTATATAAAATTTATAAATAGTCAAAAGCATCCTCCATTTGTTGCAATTAGCAGGAATCTTTGAATAATTTAAAAAATATAACTAATATCTTCAACACTTTTTTTTTAAACTTAATTTAAAAAGCCCTCAAAAATAGATTTGCGGTTTTCAAAAAATTAATGAAAGAATATAAATCAAAATTTATGCGTAATTATTACCTATTTAAACTAGTATTATATGGAAAATTTTGTTTAAATCTAGCCTGCGACGTAGTCCTGAAACACATGCAAACCATACATTCCGACATGGAAATTCTAAGTTTGAGCGGCAATTATTGTGTAGACAAAAAAGCCGCGGCTCTCAATTGGATCGAAGGGCGGGGTAAATCTGTCGTTTGCGAAGCACTTATCACAGCCGATGTCGTTAAAAGAGTTTGAATTTATTTTGTCTATTAGAAAGAAAATATAAAGCTTCTTCATTACTTTAACTGTTTTGTAAGTTTAACTTTAAAAATTTTACAAACTGATATTGTGGAATTCAATCTCAAATATATAATTTTAATTAATAAATTTAATAAAGCAGAGATCAGCAGAATTATTTTGTTTAAATTTGTTTATTTTAAATTATTTTGGATTATTTTATAAATATTTTCAAGGGGAAATGTAAAATATGAGAAACTAATGAATTTATAAATACTCCATCATGTGACCATTCAACAAGTTAATTAATATAAATTAATAGTAAAACAAAAATTCGGTCTGACCCGATTTGTAAATTTTGTTTTTGTGCCCAGACTAGATTATTAGCATTTGATGCTCCCCAAGATACTCGTGCCCTTACATCGGTATTATTGAAAAATGACGAAATCAAAATTTTCCCCAAAAAACATTACCTAAGCCTTGAGACTTGTCAAAAGTGGGTCAAACCTTTTCATCTAAATGCTAAATCTCGTGGCTTAGGCAAATAATTTGTCGGCTAAATTTTTGATTTAGCTGTTTAAAAAAAGCCTAAATCGATGTTTTCTACAACACTATTTATGGGTTATTAAAGTTATTTCTTTATAATTGAGTAGATAAATCTCACAAAAAAATCTGGTTATGTATATTGTTAATGTGCACTTGATACAAATTCTTCTTCTCCGTTTTATGGCGATTTTCAGGTTTACCCTTTTCCATTTTTGACTATCCTGAGCATCAATATTTGTAAGATTCATGCTTCTCATATCCGCCGTTATCACATTTGTTCACGTCATCTTGGGCCTTCCTCTAAGTCTTGATCCTCCTACTTACATCAAGGTGCATCTCATTATCCAGTCATCTTTTGTCCTACATTCCCATGCCCAAACCATCTTAGTCTATTTCGTCGCATTTCCACTCCAATCATTTCTATACCTTGCTCGCAATTCCTTGCTACTTTTTCTTTCTCTAAGAGATACCCCACACATCCATCTAATCAGCCTCATCTCTGTTCTTTCTAATTTGGCTTCGTGAGTCGCTTTCATTGCCCATGTTTTGCCGCCATAAACTAAACAACTCCTCACACAGCTTACGTAAACTTTTCCCTTTAACTTCAGAGAAACTTTTTTATTTATAAGAATAGACGACATTTCTCTCGACTTCTTCCAACCTTGTCTGACCCTTGCAACAACGCCAGAATCACACCGCCATCTGCATGTTATCATTATTATGTATCCCTTTCATGCATGTTTTACAAATAAAGGTCATTCTTGCTAACATCAAACTTCCCCTTTTCCTGCTACATCTATTATGTACCCATTTCTGGCATCTGGTGCATTGGACTGAATTTCTAGCAACTCTTTCCCGCATACACCACATGGCCACTTACCGGATTCCTCTATCTTAAGATTTTGATGATTCATTTTCATGCCCTTTGCTTCCATAGTCATCTTCCATTTACTAATTTTATCCCTCAATTCTTCCTCACTGTTTGCCATTAATACAAGGTCATCTGCATATAATAGCTTCCAGGGTAGTCCTTCACGCATTTCTCTAGCGACCACATTCATTACTAAGATAAATAATAATGGACTCAGCACGGATCCTTGACGAAGTCCTACCTTCACCTCAAAGCTTTCACTATCACCATAATCCGTCCATACTGCTGTTTGTGCTCCCACATACATTGCTATCATTGCGATAACCAACCATTCCTCCACATAATTTTCCCAGGGCCCATCTAGTAACCTCACGCGGCACCCTGTCAATGCTTTCTCCAAATGAACAAACGCAGAATACAGTTTTTTTTCCTTCGCAAGATACTTCTATATTTGTCTCACCATAAAAAGTGCATCTGTCGTGCCTTTCCCCTATGTAAAACCAAACTGCATTTCACCAATTGCTTCTCTTACACCCTCTCAAATACTTTCATTGCATCTTCCAAGAGTTTAATAGCTCTGTAAGATCCGCAATCTAAAGGATCACCTTTCCCCTTGTGTACTGGGATAGTTATACCTCTTTGCCAGTCCTCGGGAATAGTTCCTTCTGTGACAATTTGATTGGCTAAATTCATTAACCATTCAAAAATCATCAGAACCTTTAAACATCTCTGATACCACCATTGTTAAATCTGATGCCTTCCCTTTTTTCGTCTTTTTCACTGCTCTCTTTATTTCATCCTTGCCAAATTTACACCCTGGACCTTCTACCATACAAATTCAAAAATTTATTACTCCTAAAAAAAATTGTATTTATTTTTTCTTCTCTTTTCCCAGATACTTAAAACAACCGTTCCTGCTATGATAGAACTAAACGAAAACAAAAACCTGATAGGCTCTGCTATGGCTGGAACTATAGGTGGATTCAATGCACACGCTGCGAATATTGTTAGTGCTATGTTCATAGCAACCGGGCAGGTACTATTGCAGTTTTTTAAACATATTTATATCAGTGAAACATAATTCACAATTTCTTTTTGGAAATATTTTTTTTGGTTAAATTAATACTACCAGGTAGTGTTGTTAACCGATTTTTAAAAACGGCGAACTCAATATTTTATACACAAAATATTACTTTTTAAAAATCGACTCAAAACGAGCCGTTTAACAACTCTGATAAGTGGATTCAGATAAAAACATGTTAATAATCTGTAAAATTATGTTTTACATTTACTTATTTTAAACTATAGTTTTATTTTAGATATTTTTGAAATATCTATTCTTATTTCGTCATATGTTGAATATAAATTAGTATATAAGCAAGTTCAAAAATAATATATTATTTAAATTATCATATATTCATCTAAGGATCCGGCCCAAGTAGTTTCCAGCGCGAATTGCATAACCTTAATGGAATATTCTGGGATAAATAAAGAGGATTTACTTATCTCCTGTACTATGCCTTGCTTAGAGTTAGGAACTGTTGGAGGGGGTACAATATTGACCTCTCAACGTACTTGCTTAAAAGTTAGTAGATTATTAATTTATTATGTTTTGATAACAATTTTTTTTTAATCATACTGTTCTTTGTCAAAATGATTGTCTTTTTGAAAAACTCATAATGTTCTCACTATGACGCGAAAGGAGTATCTAAAATGAGTATAAATAATCTCGTTTATTAGCAATAAGTAATGAAAGCTATTTAGTCTTTAAGACTAGGATTCGCTCAACCCAATTTATATAATAAAAAACAAATTATTGAAAGGTTTTCAAACTTTGCTGACGATTTTTTAATAAAAGTTAAAATTAAAAATTCTCATATAATATATCTACCGCAGCTAGTTCTCAGACACAAAATTGTATAGAATGAAAATTTTTAGGGAAAATATTCAAAGAAAAAGGGCATAGGTGGGGCATGAAGCTTTTAAAGATATTTTGCTGACTCATTTTTGATCATAATTACATTTTTAAAAACCTTATATTTTGAATATTTTATTTGACAAAAAAAAATAAATCATCAAAGATCTTAGGCGTCGAAGGACCAAATTTAGCATATCCAGGTAAAAACGCTTCTCAATTAGCTCGCATAATATGTGGCGCTGTTCTAGCCGGAGAATTATCCCTTATGGCCGCGTTGTCGGCAGGTCATTTAGTCAAGAGTCATCTCAAATATAATAGGTAAGACTTTTCTGAAAAATTTAATAGTCTATTTCTGAAGCATTCCTGAAAAAGCACATTATATTCTCATTTTATTTGTCTATTATGAACACTATTTAAATTATTAATATATTCGCTAAAAGAATCTCCTTTAATCATTTTTTAGGTGGAGGTTACAAATATAAACGTAAGGGCGGAGGGACACCTTTATTTTACAATTGTTTGGCTGAAGGTAATGGATCGAAGATTAGCTTCCCTAATTGTTTAATAATAAAAATTTGGTATATCATAACGATCCCATTGTTAAATTTTCTATATTTTTTCTGTTACTTGCAGCCAAAAACCTAGAAAGTGTTTTTCTATCCTCAAGTTCATATTTAAGCTTAGGGCTCATACCAAAAATAATAGTATTTTTTGAATATTCAAAAAATAAAATATTTTAAATTAAATTTTTTGAATCAGTAAATAAAAATTTTTTGAATTAGTAATTAAAATTTTAAATATTTAAAAGTAATGCTATATAAAAGCTTGTTACTTAAAAATAACCAATTTAATAACGTTACTTATCAAAAAAAATAAAGTGGATGCAATGACATTACTATTTTTGTAAAGTAACGCGAAATATAAAATATATAAATTATGTGTAATTTGTATCAATTACTTTGATTTAAAAGAATATTTATTATGGAATCTCAATCTGAAATATACAGAAGAAGCAATAATATTCAAATTTATATATTATATACCACTTTATTTAGTTACTAATTAATATAAAATATTGTTTAATATTTAAGTAAATTATAAATGTATCTTTTCTTAAATTAAAATAAATAATCCTACCATAATTTATATATGAGATTTATTTAAAGTCAGAATGTTATATATAACAACAATTACACCAGTAAACATTTTCTATCCCAACCATTCTAAATTTTTATATAAAAGGAAGCCTTTGATCACTCGTAAATAATAAAGCAGTTGCGTACGATTTTTTAAAAAAAATAATGTTTTGAATGGCTTAACATCCAAACCTTGTCCCATATGAAATGAAATACATTTTCCCATATATTAACCTTGATAAAAAATAATAATATTAATACAATAAACTCTCTTATAAAAAAAGTTTTAAAAAGATAATTTTGATAATTTCATCAGAGTTTGGAGCATGTATCAAAAATGTTTAAAGGGGTGTTTCCAATTTTAAATATGACGCAGTTCAGATTTCAAATAGTCCTGCCGGGTCGCAGACGGTAACATAATATAGGTCCTGTTTCGAAAAAAATATTATATTTCTTCCTATTCTTGTTTTTTTTGCCTGATCGAATATTACAATTTATAAAAAGAAAGGTTTTAAAAAACATTAGGTAGGAAATATTTAGTAATAATTTTCATATTATATTTTATAATAAATTGAATAAAATAGATGAACATGATTAAAAATTTAATGCATATATATTATGAGTTTAAGATCTTCTACCCGACTTTTAAAATGGACTCTGGTTCCTATAATTATAATGAGTTTCAGTTCCTAGATTGTTACGAAAGTTTCTGCTTCCGGTGTAACGTGCGATTTAAATCAGAATTTTAGCTCACAAGTACCATAGTGTGTTATAGCTTATAGTATTAAAACAATTATTGTTGGCTAAAAGTTAATTATAAAATTAATGCCTTGGGCTATAATTAAAAACAAACTTCATATTGAAAAAAATGATAATGAATATTTTGAAATGCAGCTATATTTAAGAAAAAAACGGATTTGAGTATAAAAATGTATATTTCTCCTGGACAAATTAAAACTTCTTTAACATTTAACTCTCTTGTAGGTGCAATTGGATAAATGTACTTTGGCCCACGTAAAAAGCGAGATGCTTAGTTTGGAAAACAATTTAATCATGCCATAATTTTATAATTTCTCCACAAGAAGAAGAAAAATATGAAAGATACATGTAAAAGAGAAAACAATCCATGTGCAAACTGAATCTAGGAAAATAATTCCTTGGATAAAAATTACCCATTTTTAAGATATTAAATATTACAAAATTAATAAATTAGGAGAAAAAAAATCCTTATAAAATATATCCACGAAATAAAAATCCTAAAATAAAATATTTAAAAATTTTGAGAAAATCAATTCCAGTGAATTATTTTCTAAGAATTATTATTAGTTTTTTTGGGGAATTATTTTCTACTGCTCACTGCTGGTTATTTATTGGATCCCCAATATAAGGGGAGCATCTTAGTAGTATGAATTTGATGATATAATTTAAGAATTAGGCATTAGGTAAATGATAAAGGTGATATTATAAATTTCAGGCAGCTATATATTTAATAGCCAAAATATGTGGAAATTCGTAACTTTCATAAAAAACAACGGCCTCAGGTTGGAATTTTTGCCCACCTTGAACATTAAGAGAGGTGTCTAATATAAAATCCTACTTACTACTTTTTCAGGAAGAAAATGGTCGGTTGGGTAATATTCATACGAAGAAAGGAAATCAATTGAAGATCTCGATAACCAGAAAATTGGTAAGAGTATATTAACCTATTGATTAAAAATATTAAAGAAAATAATAATATTGAATTAATAAAACCAAAACAAGACTGTCATTGAAAGCGAAACATTAATTAGAGTATTTAAAAAATATTACTTAATATTACAAAGTTTTAATTTTTTACTATCATATATAAAGTTAATGTTGTCTTAAAAATCATTTATTTAAATTTGATCGGTCAACCCTTTCTAGATTTTTCATGATCCCATAAGCATATTGAAATTGAAAATGAGATTTTAAATTATTTAATAGCGGAGATAAAATATAAAAAGCTTCCACTAAAATGATAAAAATCAGAGTTTCTTAATTTCACACAGTGCATCAGTTCCAAACTCTTGATTTTATATATTTGTTATAAATAATATTTTCCTTTCATAATTATCAAACTCCAAATTTACATTATATTACAACTTTAAAGACAAAAATATTTCATCTAAATTATCCCAAACATTGGATTTGAGCTTACCTTATTCAAATTCCATTTTCAGATATCAGGATAATAGAAAAAGTATCATTATTACATATGATCCTAAAAGTAGCACATGCTGATGTTTTATTTAAGATAAAGTTTCATTAAGTACTATTAGTGTTGTTAAACGGCTCATTTTGAGCCGATTTTTAAAAACGGCTAACTCAATAATTCATTCAGAAAAATATTACCTAAGCCTGAAGATTTTGCTCATAGAAGGAACAAAGGTCTCGGCATATATTATCGAAATCTTGAGGCTTAGGCAATATTTATCTGGTTAAAATATTGAGTTAGCCGTTTTTAAAAATCGGCTCAAAACGAGCCGTTTAACAACACTAAGTACTATCAAAATAGGCTTACAAAAAATAAGAGAGATATTTAGGGCTTTTAAATTATCTTCCTTAATGCGCTAAATTCCAACACATCTTTTTTTCCTCACCCCATTCTTGATTCCACCCACTGCTAGAATTCAATTTGACAAATGATGAAGCGACCTTTTAAAAAGAGCATATAGTTTGAAAGTCATCTGCAATATAAAGAATTCTTGCTTTTTTAAAAAAAATCTTCAATATCAAAAATAATCATAATATTTGAACCATAAACGAGATCATTGTGGGTTGATTTTTATTAGAATGAATTTATTTAACAAAGGGTAAAAATCCAGATAGGGAAAATATTAAGGAATATAACTGCATCCCATTTAAAACCTATCATATATGTTACCTACATGGCAAATTTTTTAAAAAGTTAAATACTTATAAAAAAAATACTTTTAACAAACACCTTTTTTAAATCGTTTATATTATAATTCTTTAATAATTTTTCTAAAATTGAATACATAATATTATTCAAAAAACCTCGTTATTACAGAATTCTTTTTAAACAATAAATGAATTTATTTTAAAGTATTTGTATTTTTTCTAAATTTAGCTTCTAAATCCCTGAAAAGATAATTTACTAAAATATAAAGATAATATATTATTATAATAAATTAAATAAAGTGATATCATATATAAATTTAAATATTGTATTATTGCTTCTTCTGTAACTTTAACATATGCTTTAGATTTTAATTATAAATTTTAAAAAAGAGATTTTGGCAATTTTTACTTCTCAAAATAATTTTATAGCATCTAAATTTGTTCGTTAACAAAATACAAAAAAAAATTAAATATAACTTGTGCCTTTTAGTTATTCTGTTCCATTTTATTAGGTCATAATTTATTGTTTATAAGCAGTGCTAAAATAAGGTCATTACTTATTAGTAAGGATAATTCATCAATTTAAAACATAGATCATACAAAATTTACTAAACATTGGGACACAAGTTTATTTATTCCTTTTTCATCAGCAATATTTTCAAAGAAACTTGGGCATAGATATTTTGGGCTTAAATTAGCCTTACCTGTTTTTAGCAGCTAAAAATAAAACAATTGCCAGCTATGTTCATTAGTTATTGATATTTTTTTCCTATCTTTTTATTTTTCTTCATTGTGTTTATACTTTGATAAATATTTCGTCAACAAGTTAATATAACAATTTAAGATAATAAATGAATGATCACTAAAAGGACATTATTTTATTTTGTCATTTATGCCAAAAATATTATCTAGGTCTCAGAAAAATTGTGGTGCGCCAACATCAAAATAAAATTATCTAGTAAATTATCTCACTTTTAGAAAATTATTATTTTATTTTTTTAAATTGTACGATAGAAAAAAAATTATGTTTGTAATTGTTTTAATTTTCCCTGAAATTTAGATTAATCAATAAATTAATACAAATTTATATAAAATATACTATTATACTTGAAGAAATATTTATTTGTAATTGTGATAAAATTTGAGCCTAATTATTTGTGCTATAAACTATATATTTTTTAATTATAATGTATGATTATATGATTTATGAAGATTTAGCTTGTAAGTTTAAATTTTTGCTCATGCATTTATTTATTCCATATTATTCCACTCTAAATTATATTTTTAAGTGTGTACTAGTTTAGTTATAATTTTTAATTAGTATCAATATTTATATTTTCTGTATGTTCAAATAAATTAATTATCCAAAACATGTTATTACCCAAAATAAGATTCTCATAACCCAACTTATAATTACAATTTATAACCATCAAAACTTTATTTTATTTGTTATTATTTGATTCAAAACACATAATCATGATAATATGCTAATTCATTTTATAAATTATATTTAGAAAAAATTCTTCTTTTCAAAAATATGCCAATTTTTTTATTTCTATATCGCTAATTATCCATTCTGTTACTTGATTTAATTTGAATTTACGATTGAAGCTAAAAAATAAAATGATCATATAACTATAATATGTTAAATTATTTAAAATAAGCTTTAAAGAATCAAAGTTTAAAATTAGAAACCTTGGAACTAACTTGGTTTAACTAAAAACAAATTTTGTAACTAAAAATGTTATAGGGGTGATGTAGGCAGCTTAGAATCTAGATTAGAGATCTGCGCAAAAGTAGGCTGGGTTTGGGCCTAAGTTTTTAAAATAATTTTTTATATAAAATAAAAATATTTGATTTTATTTATATAAACTAGACGCCATATAACATGTCTTTTATTTTGATTAATTATAAAAATTAATTTCTATATTTAAATAAATTTGGGCTGGGCTGGTAAATTTTTTAAAAGGATCAAGCCAGGCCAGCAAAATTTTTTAAAAAATTTAGGGTTGGGCTGAGCTTGATAAATTAGGCCCAATATAGATCACTTCTAGATACATTTAGGCAATATTTAACTTGTCTAGTATTTTAAATGCAATTGTTTTGTTAATTTTTTCATCTAAAATTACATTAAAAAATTAATCATGGATTTAAAATAACTTTAAATACATTTACAAGCACAAATGTACAAATTATATTATTAAATTTTTTAGCTATAAGAATCATTAAATATATTACCTTAAATTTAATTGACCAAACATATTTTTGACTGGTGTTTTATTTTCATATATTAATTTCATGATACAAAATATTACATTTATATCACAGTTTAGAACATCTATACATATAACATAGAAAAATTTCTTATAAATTATTATACTCTGATCCTCTTTATACATAACTTTATATGGATATGATAGATATATATTTTCTTCATTACAAGCTAACTCCTTAATTATTTCTTGATCAAAATTCGTATTTTTTTGTTTTAACTCTACAATACACTAAGATAACTTAAATTTAATATGTTTTATAATTATTAATTTACTTTTTGACTAACATAAGGCTTTAATTCATCATACTTATTTTGTGAAAGATACTTTGAAATTAACAAAAAGGCCTAGAATTTTATTTATATATATTTAATATAATCTAATACTTGTCTAGCTCCTAAACAAAATATTTTAAGGTCAAAATCATTTTCATAATTTGACTTTATATAATTCTCCTTTAGCCTATTATTAATCCATGTAAATGGATTGATCATATAAAATATTTTACCATAACTATTATGCACATATTTTATAGAATTTATGTTAGAAGAAGTTAGTAAAAGCAATTCTGATTTTAAAATAGAATAAATATTATTTATATCATTACTTCGTGTTTTTGATACATAAAATCCCATCCAAAATAACTTAACTGAGAGACGTTGAAACTAAACACTCAGAATTGACAGATAAAATTTATTTTTATTTTATAGCCTTTATTGAATTATATATTTTTTAAATATAGTTATTTTTAATATAATAAAAAAAAAATTTTTTTAATATTTAAAAAAAATTAATATCTATCCTAATATTACACAAATCAATATATATATTATATAAACATAATATGATATACATAATCGGAAAATATATATATATATATTAGATATTTAAAACATAATTGTTTAATTATAACGAAAAATATTTTTTTTGTGGTTAAAATCTAAATATAGTTGCGATGCAAAATATAAATAAAATTAACAAAACAGTTTTTAATATATAATAAATAACTATATTTGATAAACTAGGAGGGAAATGGGAGTGTTTCGAAGAAACATTTGTAGTTCCCCTTTAGGATTTCAAATTGGACTTTTTGTTTAAGAGTTAGGGACTCGTTTTTGACCCCTGTCCTTAACGAAATTCTTCTACCCAATTGATTTAAGAACTTTAGGTGGTAAATCTTTGTTTAATATATATTTAGTATTATCAATGAATTTACAAATGTATCCTAAATAGGATTTTAAGGGTTAACTAAAAATTGAAAAGAAGTCGAAAATCGTCAATTCCCTCTGTTAAGTATTCAATATACGATAGAACTGTTTTAATTTAATAAGTTCTTCTTCCGTTAAGTATCGTATGAGATTGTCTATAGTATTTTTTTAATATGTGTCTTGATACTTTAAATCACAATCAATCATAGTTGATGTTATATATATATTGAAATTATAATATTTATCTTGTTTAGCTAAAGCTATAAAGGGACCTGCTGTAAAGCATTATAATTACCCGAACATGTCTAATAATGCTAAAATAAAGGAATTGAGTGTTTGCACACGAGGTCAGCTCTCTAGGAAATAGAAGATTCCTGAAATTCTTGATAAATTTATATATTCTTCCAGGATAAGTCACTAATCTAACTTTGTTCATTAGTATTTTGTAATCAATTAGTATAAAATGGCAAATATGATTTAAGTAATATTGACCCTTCTAATATTTGTTAGGTTGAATTAACGAGTTGGAATATCCAAAATCAGGGGAGTGGATTTTGATATTGGATTATTGTCAAGATATATTTTTCCCAGTGTATTAAATTTTGAGAACGTCAATAACAGCCAACTGTATACTAAAGAAATATTGCTGTTGTAACTGTTGAAAAAAAGAAGAAATAAATTTAATATAATACATCAAATGTCAGTTATTTTCTGACAGGGGAATTAAGTTTTCCTAGGGGGAGGAAGAAGAGGAGATGATCACATGGGGTTTTATTGTTAGGAAAAAGCCCTTAGTTGGAAGATTGGGAGATATTGGATTAATGGTAGAAGATGTCAGCTGGGGACCTTTGGGGAATGAAGAATTGGATAATTATGATTTATTATATTATATTTTTCTTAATGGATAGATATTAGATTGTTGTTTTTAATGAATAAATTTGGGTCGTCTTATTTTGTATAAGGTTTGTTTTATTGGTGCCGTGACCAAGATCGGAAGATTTGGAGGGATTCGGTTTTAAAGGTAAAACAAAATTTTTGTATATATATTATATGAATTTTGACAACTCATAAGTATTAACCACTATACAGGAGTAGGTGAGATTAAGTTGTGAGTTAAGAGTTTCTATACTTATATATTTAGCTTACAAAGGTAAAGATAGAAAGTATGCAATGGGTATTAGGCAAGAATATGTAAATAAGATCAGGAATTTAAGACAGTAATATTTGGTATATTATCTTATGTCTAGATGTATATGGTACATCCAATTTTGATTATTATTTGATATGCCTTAAGACTCATTGAATGGTGTTATAGGTATTCCGTCATAGGAAGATAAAAGACCTCATGATCAGCAGGACAGAAAGGATTGCGAAATATTTAAATATTTGAAATTTAGGAAAATATATATGGAAATAGACTTTTGTAATAAAGTGTAAATTATAATTATGTATTTTGGGTTTTTAAAGGGATGGACATGTGTGGGATCATTTATTATTATTTAATGTTAATATATTGTATTTGTAATTTAGTTTCAATCAAGGTTGATATATTATTAAGTGATCTATTGAGGGGAATTTATTGTTGTTTATTTTGAAGTAATTAACCATTTTAATGAAATAGGATGTAATGTGAATTATACATATGATATATTTAATTATGAATGATAATTTAAGGGAAATGAAGTATGATGAAGTCAGAATAATATCTAAAATGTTAGATGTGGATAGTTATTTTGATTTAGTATCTGCATTTGATATATATATAAATTGGGTAGGAATTTATATGATATATTAGATGATGGGAAATATTTTTTTTAAATTATGAAGTTTTTATATTTAGTATATATATATTTTTTTTTAAATTATAAATTTTTATAAAGAGTTTTATTTGCAATTATTATATTATTTTTATGGCATGCAATGATGTGAAGGGAAAATATTTTTACAGATAAGGTCAGCCCATGTTGAGGGGTATGCCTTGAGGTGAAAATATTGTTTAGTTGCATACTGGGGAAAGTTTTTTTGGTGTAAATTTTTTTTTGTAAATTTATGCTGCATATTACATTTTTATCTTTGTAATAATTTTATAGCACATCACTATTTACTATTTATTTATGAACATTTTTTTTTAAAGAAAAGACTCAAATTATTTTATATTGTGAAGGTATATTAAAAATTCTTTACGTATATACCATATAGCCCATTATATTCTCAATTTTTGTTACTTTGCATTCTACATTTTTGTCAATTTGTGCTAATTGTCATGACAGAGTTAGGTAGAAATGATATATTTTTCTTAGGATACTGAGTAATTCCTAGATGGAAAATATTGTATTTTTTACATATTATATATTTGTTCCCTCATATAAAATATTAAATGTATTTATATACGTATGTATTGTAATTTTTTTAAAAATCTTTGTTCGGCAAAGTTTCGCAATTATTTTTAATACCTAAAGATGGATTTTTCTATTCATTTTAGGAAATATTTACAGAAATGTAGCTTTGTTTTTTTTCACATGACCGAAGGAAAATTACATGTGTTGAAATTGCATTTCACACATAGACCATGTTTTCATATTACATTATTATATGTAAAATCATTATTTTTTAATTACCATGAATCATACCCAAATAATTTGTATTATAGCTCATATTTCCCAAATGTCTTAAAATGAATGAATTATTATATTTTGCTGATATTACATTGTCCATATTAATGTTCCATAGATTATAAATGCAGATACCCCAATGTACATGTCATTATCGATAATATGTGTTTTCGCGATTATATAATGAAAGGTATCGGCGATATTATATTATAAATTATCAAAAGGGAAGACGATTCGACACCCTGAACGTCTTCAAGGCGTCTCGATACAATTCAAAAAGGTGATTCGATACAATTCAAAAGAGTGATTCGATACAATTCAAATAGGTGTTTCGATACAACACCACCAGAGAAAGGGACGCTGGGCTTGTAAAGGGTGGGCGTGTTGTAACTGTTGAAAAAAAGAAGAAATAAATTTAATATAATACATCAAATGTCAGTTATTTTCTGACAGGGGAATTAAGTTTTCCTAGGGGGAGGAAGAAGAGGAGATGATCACATGGGGTTTTATTGTTAGGAAAAAGCCCTTAGTTGGAAGATTGGGAGATATTGGATTAATGGTAGAAGATGTCAGCTGGGGACCTTTGGGGAATGAAGAATTGGATAATTATGATTTATTATATTATATTTTTCTTAATGGATAGATATTAGATTGTTGTTTTTAATGAATAAATTTGGGTCGTCTTATTTTGAAATATGGTTTGTTTTAATTGCATGTATAGGCCGAAAATTAAAAGGAAGAAATATAAATTATGCGATATATTGATTCACGAAAAAACCGAATAATTATATATATTTCAGTCTAGGAGTGGGGCAAAGGAAAATCCTCCCTTTGAAAATTTTCATATTCTCGTAAATATCATTTTAAACTAACAAAAAATCCTCCCCTCTTTCCCCCAAAATGTATATAATATATCACTAAAATAAAGAATTAGAAAGAAAAATAATTAATAATTTTTAAAAAAAACATTATAATTCAAAATTTTTTTAAAAGAAGCAATTTTCTAAAAAAAAATCAAATACCAAAATAATCTTTATAAAAATCTAATATAGCCAAATACTACAATAAGTGGACCAAAAGACTTCCTATAAAATTTATGTGGAAATAACCATTTCATGTACAATGATGTATAGCACATATACATTATTGAATTTTATATGTTTTTATTAAAATAATAGATACCGTCTTAATTTATCCTTATATACAAAAAAATGTTATTTTCGAGTAGTGTCTGTGGCGTAATCTGTGGATACATATATGATCTAAATCTAGATTCAAATAACAATAATGGAGTTTTTTTACTGAACCCAAGTTTTGTGCTAAGGGGTATGATATATAGAATATCGGACGCGATCCCCTGATTCCCTTAATATATATTAAAATAAAAATAGGTCTTATTAAATTTTAATAAAATTTGGTCGTTGTTAAGCAAAACTGCTTCATGATGATCAACGCTATGATCCAATTTTTATAATTCCCGTTGACCTTTATCTTGGAGATATGTCAAATAGAAAGTTGGAATCAATCAATAACATATAATAATACAGACTGACGATGCATTCATAATAATGCATGTGAAAGCGTTGAATGCAAATCAGATGGACCCGCCATTTTGGTAACCCATATAGTATTTATTCTTATGTTAAAAACTACTATTAAATTGAAAACTTGCTTCCTTATATCTCGATGATCAGGCAATTCTTCAATTTCCTTTCTTTTAAAATTTTTAATAATGATATGGGTATCAAAATAGCGTCCCCAGCTGTTTTCATTAATGTATACCTTTAATGAATGCATCGTCAGTGTAGGTATTATTATATGTCATTGGTGGGAACCAAAAAAATCTAGAATTATTAAATATTTTGTCTTGACTCTAAGTTTCTTGTATTTTTTTACTAGTTTTTTTTTATTGAATTTAATAAAAAAATGTCTAATTTTAGTTAAATTTAATAGAAAAATGAATGACATTTCTTATTTTATTTATATTGGTTTTCTTATTGTCTTACCTTTTTCTATATAGTGCACTTTTATACTTTTATATTATTTTTTTCTATTTTGATTCTTTTAATAATGTTCTATTTTGTTTTACTTTTAACTGGTCTATTGAACCTTTATCTTATATTTATCTACACTTGACTATTTTTTTGTTTACTATTGGTTCTCATCTCTCAATAAAATTTTTAAATCTTTGAAACAAATATATAAGAGTTAAAAGGTCAGAGCATTTACAATCATAACCTAAAGAAAATTTTTTTTTAAAGCAATAAATCCAAATCAAAAATACATTATATAATTAGGTCAATTTTTTAGGAACTTGTGTACCTAGGCCAGTTTCAACATAATGATATTATTTGAATATTAAATTAAACTAAGTAATTTTTATTATATATTATAATCTGTAATTATTCTTATTACAATTTTATTTCTGATAGATATTATTGTAATTGATTTCATTTTGTATGAACATATCGGGCGTTAATTTTTAATTTTTTTTTCTTCTCTATATTAAATTTGACTAATTTTAATATTTATTCCAACATTTAATATTCAAATAATTAAGATAGTATCGTCTGCTTAATTATTTATTTTAAACCATTTTTTATACATATCTCAATTAAATGGATTTTAACATTGAAGATAATAATTCGATTGATGTAGACTCTCATTTTTCTCAAGATCTACGGGAAGTCAATGAGGAATTAAGAAAAAATCTAAATTCACAGATAAATTTTCAACAAGTCCTTCAAAATGGCATATATCAAGTCTAATTTTATTTCAGATAAATTTAAAAATTAATTTCAATCCTATATACATTTTATGCAATTTAAATCTGGCGTTTATTATTCTTATTTTAAGTCAATTAAATTAGTTTATACCTTTTTTATCAAAATATATTAAATATAATATTGTTTACTTATTTCTAGAATATATTATGCGTTATCTTTCAAAACGGGAAGATTGGTGCTTCATTATATAATGCCAAGCAAAGGAAGATATCAGTAATGGCAGATGAAGAAGAAAATTTGAAATTTGAAAAGTTGAAAATACGTATTTATAACCCCCCCTTAAACTTACTTATAAATATTTTTAATAGTCATTTTCCAAGTTAGGCCCAGTATATTAATCATCAGTTCAAGACAGAATCAATCGTTTATAAAGGATATCAAATTATTAAGTAATTTACAATTCATATCATTTATAATAGTTTTATCTATAAAATAAGAAAATTCAAAATCAGAATGTTTGGTGCAAAAAAAATATTCAAAACTTTATCATTTAGCATTGTCATATAATGCTACCTAAACTTTCTATTTATTCATTTAAATGTTTAGCAATAAGAATTAATTGTTGGCACGCTAATTTGTTTTTCAAGATAAATAACTTATATCAGAGGCCTGCACGTATTTTTTTTAGATATACCCCGGCTGGCCTAAATTTTTTAAAAATAAAATATCCTGACCCGGCCGAGCTTAAAAATTTTTTTACCCGGGCAGAATTTTTTAAATCTCCATTATTTTCTATAAAAATTAAAAATAAATAAAATATATATAATAATTGTTTATCATAAAACAATTATTACATTCATTCACTTTTTACATCTCCCGGAATTACGTGATCGAGTCCGATCTACTATATATCATTCCCCCAATAATGTAATCACTTAGTAGGCTTTAGAAAAAGACATGTTCAATGCTAGATTTGAACCCAGACCTATCGGATTGTGATATACGAACTGAACGGGATAGACCACATACTATTAGAAAGCGTCAAAATTTACATATAAGGATAAAATTACATTGCTATCCATTATTTTAATAACACATAAAAAATCATAACATTCAAATCTATACATCATTACTAGTGTTGCTAAAGTAACATAACTAGTTATATTTGAAAAAATTTAACTAATAACTGTAACTTTTTAAAATGTAACTGATATAACTAGTTACTTTTTAAAGTATTTATATTATTATAATATATTCAAATAATTCATTTTAATTTTAATATGTCATATTATAATAAATTAATTTTATATTAAACTTGTTAATTAAAAATTTTGATTAAATATCTAATTCTGTATGCGGGCCTTTTTTATAGTTAATATTGATAAATGAATCAGTCAAATAGAGAATCATGACCGTAGCCTGGATTTTGCGAGGGGGAAAGCACTATTATGTGGGTTTTTGTCCCATAATTGAAAGGTAGGTTATATTTTTTTATAAAAATATTTTGGTTTTTCACTTTTTTAAAAAATTTTGAATTATGTCATTATTTAAAAAAATTATTAATTTTTACTTATTTTTCTTTAAATTCTTGTTTATAGTGTGATATATTAAATATATTTTGGTAAGAGAGGGGAGTGGTGGTGTGTATGAGGGAATTTTTATTAGCTTAAAATGATATTTACGAGAACAGACAAATTTCTAAAGGGAAGTTTTCCCCTTGCCCCTCCTTGTATAACTAGTTAAGTTTCAAAAGTATTTAACAATACTAATCGTTACCCTATTTCCATTGTTTCAATTCTTATAAAATATTTCTAGTAAAATATAATTCCAATTAATTATTCTATTAATCATTATGAGGTGATATTCAATCAAATTAAAGCAACATAAACTCAAAATTATAATACCCTTTTGGGAAAATTTATTATAGGTATGTATCATTTTATCTCTCTTATTCTTTGTCCCAAATTCAGGCAATTACGGAGAGAACGTGAAATGACTAATAAAGACTATATTAAATTATTACAAGAGGAACAGAAAATAAGGAAATTCGACTAGTAGAAGTGAAAGTATGATGATTCGAACTCACTGGTTTTATGGCAAATGGGGACATAAAATAATTTGAAAAATTATTAAATATAAATTCCATATTCGATGAAATTCGTATGCCGAATAGGTATATTTTACCAAGGCAATAAAAAAAATTATCACATCCTGACCAATTTTTTAAAAAAATCTGGGCCGAATAAAAATATAAAACCCGGGCTGGGCTTAAAATTAAAATTTCAAATTGCCGGGCCAAATGGTGTTATGCAGAGTTGTTAAAAGATACTTTTTAAATGGATCTAGATACAGATACATCGTCTAAAATAATATCTAGATACAGATATTTTAATCAAAAATCTATCTAGGTACAGACAGATACCACATTTATATCTAGTATCTAGATCCTTTAACCACTCTGCTGTTATGAAAGCTTTTGTCAAAAAAAATTCAGAATTCCATTTATCTATGAAAAAAATTCTAAGTAAAAATGACGTGTCACCAGCTGATTTGTATTCAACGACATTTCAAAATACTTTTTAATAAATAAATCGTCAAACAATCTAAATAAATGTTAGTATATCCAATATATTTATATTATTTTTTTTCTCCTGACCAAATAAACAATTTCATCATTTCCCTTTCAAAAAAAAACCAATAAAATTTTATTTGTTACTATTTAAATAAATCTAGTGGAAAGGTTGGAAGATACACCTGACAAGGAAATGGAAGCCTATAGAATTATTTTCTTACCGGTCGTAAATTTTAGTAAAAAAAATATTCATTAAAAGTTACACTATAATACTGCTATATAATAAATTTTATTAAAAAGATCATGACATTAACTTACGATTGGTTACAAAATTAAAATGGTTATCATCGATGTATCTCTTATCTGATACAGAATGGAATATATATTTGTGTAACAGAATTCCTATGTCTAACTCTTTAATGGTAAAAAGTTCAAGTTCAAATATATTATTTTTCTTATGAAGGAAGAAGAAAAAAAAATTTTTTTTATAAGAGGCCATCCTCGTTTTTTAATCGTAGCCTTTCTCAATGAAGTATTGTAAATTATTACTTTTTTTTAACCCAGTAGGAAAAAACGATTTTTAATATAAGTTAATTCAAAAAAAAAATTAAATGTAGTTAAAAATTTTAAAACTCCTCTTCTGTCTAAAGGAGTAAAAAGTTGCTTGAAAAAAGATGTCTAGGACGGCCTCTAAGAAATTTATTTATTAAATGCCAAGAATTTTAATTGATTTGATAAATAATAAATTAATTTAAATAATCAGTCTGTGAATATAAGAGACCTGGTTCTGAAGGTTCGAAACTGATCGTAAAATGATGTGATTTAAAAAATTGAGCCTGACTTAAAAGACAAAAAATTTAAAGCCAGGCCTAAAGGAATTGACCTCTGCAGATCTCTGGGATATTATCATTAATATAATTATTTACTAAATATGATTTGTTTACATAGATATTGGAACAGAGATATGTATGGCCTAAAATTTATCATACAGATACAATTATTGGCAATATATAATACATTTTTTTATTATAATGAATTAGTGTGTATATTGGCAAAATTGTAAATTTATTGTTAAAACTCAGATTGTGAATTAAACCAAACACTGCGAATTTTCTGACTGAATCTAGGAATTAATGTTATCAAATGTATTTATTCAAGATACATTTCTAGAATTAGTAACCGATTTAAATAAAGTTCACAAATTCGATGAGAAAATTTGGAGTTAGGAGAGAGTATTATGAAGTAATAAATTTTTAGCAAAATCATTTATCTTGTGTGTTAAATTATTTTTAAATTTTCTGATCCCCCATTGTTTCTTTTACCTTAGCCTGGCATTTCCATGCCTACCCTACTTTTTTTTTGCGGCCACGAAAATAAGAAAGAAAAATATTTCCTATAGACATTTAAATGAAACCCGTTTTGATGTGTCCAGGTCTCAACTAGACTTTTAAATTAGGCTTAAATATATTACAATATATAATTCTTTATATTTTTTTCCTTATATTTTTAAATCCCAAAATATCATAGATTCGTACATTGGGAGCTTTGCTTATGACATTAGAGAGGGAAAGCATATTGACTTATAATAATACAAGATCATACGGCGTCGACGAAATTTCAATGTTTCATTTGTAATGGAGAAAATATAATTTAAAATAATTGAATATAATTTTTATTTATTTTTATATCATATGCAGAGAAAAACTGGTTTTTATTGACAATAGTAGTTACCGGTAAAATTAAAATTTTAAATTCTCTAAACATTGCATGTTATTTAGAAGTCTGCAAATATTTTCTGAAGAATCGCATCCATCCTCTTACAAAGTTAATTCGTTCAAAGAAGGATTGAGCCTATATAGTTAAACATTTTCCACTAAACTCCATTAAATTGATATTTGCATTTTTGTTAATGATTAATTTAATGAATTAATTTAATTTAATAATTATGTCGGCTTGTTAAAGTCAAATTAATTTTTTTAATAAATTCAAATGCTTATGAAAAATAAATATTATTAATTTTTTTTTACATAGTGTCCTTCACGTGATTTTCTTCAAAAAAAGTGAGCTTTTAACTAGGCCGTGAGCCCTCGTTCTAAAAATCGGGTTCATTAAAAATCCCTGAACCAGGTTCGGGTTCATGGTTCAAAATCCAAAATAATAAGTTCTTATAAAATTTAGTTAAAATAACAGAAATATCATTTTAATCTTGTTATGTTTAGTATTCGCCATAAAAATATAATTTATCATACAATACAATTTTAAAAATAATATTTTAACATTTTTATTTAAGTTATATCATGTACCAACTTACCATCATTGATAGAATAAATTAAAAACATTTCTTAAACCCTAAATTTAAAAAAGAGTTCGGGTTTTAGCTCAGCCCTGCTATTAACTAGATCGAAAAAGAAAAAATAGGATAAAAAAAGGCACTATCTTGCTAAAAAAAGCTAAATATATACTATTATATTATTTTTCAAGGATAATAATTATGTGGAAATTTTTTCCAACGTAATTGTTTTTTTATTAACTCGTTGGCATACGCCTAAACGATTTATTATTTTTAGTTTCAAATTAATAAATATTCAGTTTATCTTCCAGTCTTGAGGGAATTACAGCAATAATTTGTAAATGTTTTCGCGGCACCTACTTATATATTTTATTAAATCTCCACCTCATTTCCCCTGTTCGATATTCGTTTATTTATGTGTTTTTTTTGTTTATTTAATTGTTGTTTTCATTTTTCTTTGATTAAAATTTGTAAAAAAAATTATATTAGATGATGACTGATATAAACTATATACAATAATTTATAAAGTAATTAATTACTTTTGAGATT